TACACTCTCTCTTCCTGTCTCGATTCTCATACCTGTAGAAAGCTATAATATCAGTAGCCCTTAATTCCTTTTCTTTCAGAAATCTACTCCAGCCTTGTTGTTTTCTTTTCCAGAGAGAGCTATCATTAACTAGTTGTTGCTGTCATTTTTAGATTCATTTCAAGTGGAAATTAGATAAATTTTTTGATGATGTTACTGTTGGCACTTCAGCTAGTAAGATCTATGTGGTTTACATCAAGTTGCAGACCTTTCAGTAAATGCAATGCTAGTTCTAGTAACTCAGTAAAAAAGGGATGCTTGTAATTGACCCATATCATACGAATTGTCAATGATTTTCGTTGGCCGACCTCCAAAATTTTTGTCACCACCATAATATTATTTGCATATACTTCCCAAGATTGAAATATATGCATCTCCAAAATTATGGATATTCCTAATTATAAGTGGTTTTTTCTGTTCAAGTGATAATTTTTCCTTAAAAGTTGCAACTTTTCTAGGAACTTCTGAGTGCAAATTATGGTAGTATTAAACCGGATAATAACGTAACTCAATGGTTAGGTTTATTGCTTTCAACGTTTGATCACAATTAGTCTTATAGGTGGACCTATTTAAAAAGGAAGTGTGCAGCGAACCCAAAGTTTATCATGAACAAAGCTCAAGTTGTTTTTGTTGTTGTTATTGTGCATTTGATTCATTCAAAGTCCTTGCTACTTACCCGTATTGCTCTATCTTCAACTTTATTTGTTGTCCATGAAGTACTTAATTAAATGTCGTAATGATAAGATATCCAGTCTTCATTCCTTTTTAATGACACAACTTTTGTGATAATTTTTTTTGCCAAATTGCTTTAGTATCTTATTCACAGGTGCTCCTATTAATTCTGGGGATAGAGTGATTTTTACTTAGAATTGATGTAGGATTGACATGTGCCTATGGAATGATTTATACATTTTGTGATAATTTTTTTATGTTGAATATAGAACATGAGTGGTCACATAGTTATAAATAAGGAACCAATGTCATGGTCGGATGAGAATGAACTTGCTTTTATTGAAATTCTTTACTAGAGAGTAAAATCAAACGCATTACAATGTTCTACATTCACGAAAGACGAATGAAGTAGAATCAATGAAACAATGATCGCTTCGACAAAAGTGGATTACGGGATAGATAGATTAAAGGGAAAGTGGAACCGCTTACGTAAGATTTACTGTATGTTCTCTGAACCTTTGGCATATACAGAGGTCACATGGGATCCAAATACCAAC